CACCGTAAATACTACTAAAACAGCCCTTTTCAAAATCATTCTTAAAGGGAATGTTCCCAATTTACCAGGATTAATTAATCTAAGCTTTTGTTTAAATTCCTTTAAATCTTCAAGCATGGTTTACAAATTAAATACATAAATTATCAAAAATGCAATTCCTTGAACAAGAAGAATCAAAAACTTAAACAGCCTCTTTAAGTTGTAAAGCCTCTTATGACCATCCCCCTCCTCCCCTCCCCCCTCCCTCCTGGCCTAGAATTTAAGATCCCCGGAGAAAAAAAACAAGATATTCTGCTTATAAACCCATTCTATACCCATACTCTAGAGGCAGAAATGACACTTTCCTGCTTACTTCAAAACAAACAGCTGACATATTTATAATTTCCATTAACATCGAGATTTTAAAACTGACAACTGCAATGCTGAGGTAATAATACCGATATTATTTTGCTGATAAAACATTTCCGAATTATTTGGATATTTTCATTTAATCACAACCTAGATATGTTTATACGTATGAACAAAAATATTAAAGGGAGTTGAATAAAATTCTGAACCTAAAGGGAGTGACTGGCAAGACAGGGTTGTTGAGGGGAAAGCATTCATAGTATTGTAAACCGGTCTCACTCACTTATGAACATAAAGCACTTGTTGTAAGCTTTGGTTTTCATGAAGTAATTGGCAATGTTTTCATCGATTTTTCCTTGAGAGCTTGAGACTTGAGACTCACAGTGTATTCCAGATTTCTGGAATGTCGTCTGTGTAATGTAAATCCACGGAAAACTCTGAAATGAATAGGTGCGAAAAGAATAGGAAGTTAAAAACATAAAGGGTGGAATACAGGGTGGGTAAGAAGGTTACGTAAGAAGAAAAAAACGTGAACAAAGTGGTGAAAAAAGAGGATAAAATTATGAAATAAATTATAAGACCAATACAAAGATTGGTATGGTATGTAATAAAAAAGGAAGGATATAAGAGAAACCTATTAATATTCAATACACAATATTTAAACCCCTGTATATATATAAACTATGAATTTGCATAATGTACTGGGGGGGGAGTGCGCGTTGGATGGGTTGGAGTGCACGGTTGTGGATGGTATAGAGTGAGTAGAAAGTTGGGTTGGAATGTGGCTGAGTGGCCCTGAGAAGGAGATATAACTTATTTTATCTGGAATTTATCTCTATTTTCTCATCTTTGTTTCTTATGTCTTATATTTATAATTTTTCTCTCTACTATTTCCTAATACTTTTCTCACTTAGTATCTTTTTACGTATAGTGTCACATGGTACAGTGAGACTAATAAAACTATAGAGTAGGGAGACGAAATTACGGCAATCTCTTGTGTATGTAATGCTTTAAATACACAAGAGAAAATCAATGTTTGCAGAAAAAAAGGTCTCCACAGTGCACACTGCACAGTTACTGTATGTCATGTTTATTTAGAACTACAACTTGAGTCTAAAAGTCGTCTTCCGCTTCCACAGTTTTATGGGTCCTATTGTATGAAATTAAAACAGATTGTATTTTGTTTGGATGACATATCTCTTTAATTTAAGATGATTAGTAGATA